TATGCCCGAGACAGTCGATGGCCAGGGGGTCGGGCAGTGGCGGGTTGGGTGTGGGGTCGGCGCCGGGCAGTTGTGACATCATAATGTCGGCGCATTGGACGCTGTGTTTGGTGTGATTAACACACGTCTCGTTGGCGTAAAATGACTCGACGTTTGCGAACCATTCGCTTAAATCTTGCTTTTCTTTGTCACTGCAGTCGGACTGTAATTAAAAATGATTTTATTTTAACGAGCATGATAAAATTTTAGTTTATAAATAATAGGTTGTGGAACTAACGCCCTAGTAATTATAATTGTTTTATTTTAATTATGTATAATGATAGTCTAGGTGGGGCTAAAATATGATTGTGTTGTATAAACATTTTACAATTTGTCCCACCATGTTTTTTTCCCGGTAACATAAATAGACACCCATAGAAGTTTGAATGACAATAACTTTACCTTGTTTAAAACATCCATGCTGCATTCGAAATGGTCCCATTTGGCGCAACATGAATCGGCCAGTGATGAGCTAGGCGATATATTCCAATATTCAAGGGCCTGACTCTGACATAGTTGTATGTCTCGGTCCAAATGGCTCAGACAGTTAACGGCCTGTTGTGTATACAACGGCAACGTATGGTTAATTTGAAAGCCATTTATAGTATTAATTGCGGTTATTATTGATAATACCGTTAATATTATGTTNGTTGTGTATACAACGGCAACGTATGGTTAATTTGAAAGCCATTTATAGTATTAATTGCGGTTATTATTGATAATACCGTTAATATTATGTTTAAATAATTCATGACTTATTTTTTAATGTTGTTTTTAAAACAATAGAAAAATGCCTGAAAAACACACCCAAAATTATCTACAAATTTATATGTGTTTTATTGTTATCCATGTATTTCCTATGGGTTTTGTAATAATAAAAGTTTTTTATTTGTTTAATTTTAACGCTTGTTATCAGCGGTTGTCGTGAAAGTATTAAAACTAAAAGAGATCGCAATTAATTATATCAGTGGTAACCCATGGCATAGCACAAAGTCCAATGGATTTAAATTACCAAGGTATGACATGGGAACAATGAATAATATAACATGTAATTTTAAACAGTCTTTTTGTTTTTCAAAAATAATGTGTTTGTGATGCAGGTATTTTAGCGCAAATGTATTATCTGTGTGTCTGACTGATTTGAGCACCGGTATGCAAACTGTAGACACTATCCAAACTTATCGTTTATACAAATACCATAATTAATTTAATAATTTATTGGTAGAAAAAATACGCACTTTGTTTTTTAATTACCTATACCTTAGTTATAATACTTATTAGACTGTAATTTTATAATAATTTTAATCAACTACAATATTTATTATTTTATTTTAATAAATTATTGGAACAAGAGTGTTTATAACTTTTAAACAAATAAGTTTATTTAATTTTCATAATAATTTAACAATTATTTAAAATTTTGTGTTTAAAATTTTGTTTGTTGTCTTGCATAACATTTATTTGTATTATTCACTTTTTGTAAATATAATTTACTGTATAATGCATAATATTTTTGTGCATGTTAATATCATTTAACATTAGTTAAAATTAGTTAAACATGTTAAACTTCCGGCACCTGATACTCGTAATTTAACATGATAACAATTACTCAATAAATAAAGACTAAATTAAATATTCAGTTTTTGATAACCCTGGTGGTTGATCATGGCAAACTGACTGTCGTGTCTCAACTGGCGCCTTATAATAATACACTGAACAACAATTATGGTGAACAACACCAGCGCCAACAAAAGCATCATGAGCAACAAGTATGGAAAAATGGCCATCATATACTCCAGCATATGATTTTCGTGATGCTCGGTCAATTTAGCTTGACTATCACCACCTTCAGTGCCCAAGTTGTTTGGTTGTTTAACCAGATTGCTATCATTATCACCTGGCACGGCCAATGGACCAGGTTTGTTGTTGCCTACCGAATGAACGAGTTCAATAGTCATATCGGTCTTGATGTTTAGGTTGGACTTTTGGGCCTCGGATAGCGAGCACGCGGAGCTGTGGTGTATGTAATCGGCGCACCAGTAGTCCTCCAACCAGTCCTCCACCTAATTATAATTCATAAACATCAAAGTTAGTTAACTATTTGTACACCTTAGGAAGTTTGATACATGAATCTAGCTTAACATTGTTATTAATAAATAATGTACGGTTAATTATTGCATAAAATATAAATAGATAATTAAAATTACATAATATAAACAAGAAAACTCACCAATTTAAAATACTCCTCGGTCGGGACCAGCTCAATGTTATTGCAGCGTATAGTAGAAATTTCATCGAGGCAATCAATGTCCTGCCAGGCGGCGCAGCATATTTGCTTCGGGGTGGCAATAGATACGTTAGAAATGTGCCAGGTCATTTCGGCCACTTGGGCGCACTCGGCCCTAATGTCCTTGTTGATATTCAACAGGCAGTCTATTGCTAACGGTTCTGGTAGTGGTGGCTGTACGGCAATGTCCTGCTCGACACCCCTGAGCACAGGCACCATGCAGTACGCCTCACTCTCGCTATAATTAGCGCATGTGTTTAGTCCCAAATCGGCTTTTAACTCGAGGAAATAACGTGCCAAATCCAACTGACCACGCTTACTGCATTTTGTGTCCGTCTATTATTAATTAACAATATTTAAATATATTTTAAAATTTTGATATAATGTATATTTATTAAATATTTAATAATATTAATTAATTAATTAAATCTTGCTTACCAAGTTCATGTAGTCGAGCGCGCAATCAATGTAGTACCACTCAGCGCAACAATCGTCGCTTGGTGAATCATTGCCAGTAGATTGACCATATAGCACTTTGGCCCTGCGCTGGCACTCATTAATACCAGGGCTTAATTTATTGAGACAATGATAGGCCAATGGGCTATACTTGGGTCCATTCTTATTCTTAGGCCACAGCGTGTGTGCGCTAACTGTCACAATATAAATGAGTAAAATTGTGATCACACTACTGGTGAGTTGCATTGTTTAATTCAAATTTACATTCAAGTAAAATAAATGTAATTTTGTATTTAAAATATTTCTAAAACATTGTGTTATAGAATTTTGAGTTAATTAATAAAAATGAGTTTAAAAATTGATTTTTAGTTTCACTAATAAATGCAATGAAACTATTAGTGCTTTACTTTAGATATGAAATGTTATAATTAATAGTGTAACCATAGTGACTAATATGGATTTATTATAAAAACATATAGATTACTTTTCTAACAGCATTTATTATTAGCGGTATGTGCTATTGTAGTACATTTGTCAAGGTGATGCATGATGTACAATGCAGAGATTGGGATCTTAAGTATTTCATAATGTAATTCCGGTATAAGGTTTATCGATCATAGTCTAATTCGTAACAAGTACGATTTCATGTAATTAATAATCTGCCTTATGTAATTATAAAATAAATTCTTTCATAATGAATCATTAACATAATAATTCTTCTTAATTCTTAATGAAAACATATTATATAAATAAACTGTACCTTTTTGTATATAAATTATTTTAAATTAAACTGCTATAAAATTTAATCTCTTAAGGTGTAGGAATCAAGCAATTTTAATCAATACACATTTTCATTGTTATAACAGCATTTATATCATTTTTATTAGCATAATTCATTTTACAAACCTTCATGTTTATATTTCTCTAGCAAGCACACTAATTTAAAGCCCAAGCATATTTTAATTTTTTAAAAATAAATATATATTCTAAAATATAGTTATTCTATTATAAAACAAATATTAGCTGCATAAATAGTCATTAATAATTTTAATGTTAGATTATTAAATAAATAATTAATTATTTTTATTGTAAGCATTTTACTGTTAGCAAAAGCGCGATTAGCAAATAAAATGTAATTATTACATTTTATTATAAATTTTCTGGTAACCCTGCTCACTCGTACCATTCAAAATAGTACCAGCGTTTTTTAATTGATGTCTAATCAAATAACACTGCATGGCTATCACAATCATTAACACCAGGGCCAACATTGCCATCAAAATCATTAAATATGGTAATATTGTGATCAGATATTCAAGCAAATGGTGATCAAAATAAATTGATTGTTGATCATCATCGTAAACGGGCATCACCATGTTTGATTGATCGCGTTTAGCTAGGCCATTGTACCCAACAATACTGATTGCCTGACCACTTAGGGTCAGTTTACTGTTGATGCCATGATTTACATTGTAATCATCAATTGAGTTGTTAATCAATAGGGGGTCTGAGCTGTCGATTAGCACCGGTATCTCATCTACCGTTTGCTGGCAAACAGCGCTTCCATAGGTATTATCTTCGCATTCAACCTCTTGAATATACTCGATAAACTAGATTAAATAGATTGGTTATTTTAATTTTGATTTTAATTAATTATTGTAATTAATAAATTGTTTTCAAAGTAATTTGTCTAGATTTATTTTAATATATATTTTAGTATAATTTAGCAATATAACAAATTTAGAATTACTCACTTGATCAAAATATTTATTCAAGGCTTTGTGATCGTTGTCAGCACAAGTTGAACTAGCTAGATCACTGAAACAATCAATGTTTTGAAATAAGGCGCAACATAATTGTTGCTCAGTGCCATTAATCGTGGTAACATTAAATTGCCGCTCAGCCGATCTAGCACAATCTAACATTGTATCAAACTCAATCTTGTTTATACAATTTTTGCTGGACAGATCGGGCACAGGGGGTCTATCATCAGGTAATAGTATGTTGTGCAGCACCGGTAGGGCACATATAACACTGTCCCGTCCATACCCGGCACACGTATAGTTAGTGTAATAAATTTGCATTTGCGATAACCAATTGATCATATCGTATGCCTCAGTTTCGTTGCATTTATTAGTTGTCTAGTATTCATGTAATTT